ATTCATTCACAGTGTTCTGTGAATGTGAAAACTACATGTACTGACAGCCTTTGCAGCTGTTCTCCATGATCTACCAGGGTGCTGTTGAGTGCTCTAAGTAGTTCATTGAGCTTCCTTTTATTCCCACATTGGAGGTAGAGGCAGACAGCTACACAGACAGTCTGCTGGATCATGGGGGCAATGCTTTACAGGCTCCTAACAAAAAAAAATAATGAATGCATATCTTTTTTACCTGCAAAAAATGGTGCATTTATTATTGTTTTTGTAAAGCTGAACTTATCCTTTAAATATATAATTGAAATTGTTTTGTTATATCTGTCTAATCAGTTAAAAAAGGAATACCTGTTGATCGTATCAGGAATCCTGTGCATTCTGCATTGTTGTCAGCTCTGCACAGTCCATTCCTGTGGGCTATAGAACACCTCCTTATATCATAGGGATGAAGGGAGGAAGAAGTATTCTGCAGTCCTAAAATACTTCCTGTCCTAGAGTGACAATACTGCTACTCTTTAGATACAGTGCGGTGAGTGTTGTCACCCTTGGGCAGACAGTATGTTACTCTCAAGATTGCCGGGTGGAAATAATGGGAAAAAAAAGTCTGAAAAAAAAAACCTAATGCAACCACCACATCTAAGGCCTGGTAAGCTGCAATTTATTAAAATTGTGTTCCTGGGTTTATAAACAGTTTCTACATCACTATTCTACTGAGGTAAAGCTTAGCTTACTTAAAACATTGTCAGCCTCACACCTAAAGAACTAAAATGCAAAAAATGACTGGTTAAATCAACAAGTGTTTTTTTTTTACTGCTACCATTCCTTTATACTAGCCTTTCAAAATAATTAAAAAAAACAATAATTTAGTGGTTGGATAAAAGGTTTAGTGTAGTACAACTCTTTGGTATTTGCCCTTGTTTTAGGGGTCTATATACCAGACAATATAGAGAGACATTTAAGAAGCAAACCGGGCATATAGATTTGTCTAAAAAAGGGACAACTCCTTCTGAAGAGGGACAGTTGGGAGCTGTTAGTTTTTCTGTTATATGTTCTGATATTTGCCAAGTGCGGCCCCTTAGGCTCATGTTTTTTTTTCCACAAACCTTAGAAATGTACCTTATTGCAGAGCTTATAGCTGCTAATGGTGGCTACGTGCATTTTGTTTTTTTTTCCGATTGATCAAAGCAATCAAATCCGCAAACAATCTAATAGCTATAATTTCTCTTCCAATCGATTTAGGCTTGATTTTGATTGGAATTGATCGATCATTGGCCAGGGTGGAATATTATCTATCATTATTTATCAATTGGCAACACTGAGATACCTTGTTCATTAATTTCACTCGTATGTAAATTATTTCAATCCATCAGATTAGTTCACATGGCGGGAAAACAGATAATCTACAATTGTAAAGTAATTTTGTATTTTACCAATCAATCAAAGTCCACTTCCCTGTGTATGGCATATTGATCAATAGGGTTATTGACTATAGATTTCCTATTGGAAGAGACCGATCAGAAAAGTAATTGATAATTTATTGTAGTGTGTTTGGCCACCATAAGTTAGGATAGTCACATACTGTACGTCTAGTTCTTTATGATAAAGGTTTGGAAACCTCCTCAACTGCCAAACTAGGGTCTAGGAATGATAGGAACTTGACTGCCTCTAATTACTGCTGTCTTTGAGAAATACATACTTTTGTGGAACCACCCATCCCAGGATAAACTGAATAAGTGATTGTGAAGAAGTACTTCTCTCCCGGTTCTATTCAGATAAGTTATTTGTTCTGTCATCACTAGTGTTGTCTCTTGATTTTAGCAAGCCAATCAAACCTGTACTTCTATATTAGTCATTCTAGCCAGGTTTTATTATATCTTGGTGTAATAACTCCTTGTGCAATCTTAATCTTCCTTTTTTGAACCCTTTGTACTTAGGAGATAAACTAAAAATGCGTCACTGTAGTGTAATACTATAGATCAAAAGATATGGGACACTTTCCAAGTTCAAAGTGATAAGAGCTGTTTGCAGACTAAAATACTGACTATCCAGAATAGCACATTCAATGCCTTCCAAAATTGAACATCTCAATTTACAGAATTTACAGAAGCAGTCACAACCTTTATTTCTTATATTGTATGCCAGTGATGTCACAAACATTGTAGCTAAAGATTATTGACAAATTGTTCCTTAAGGTGATATTAAGAGCTTTTTTTTAAATAACAAACTTGTTATACTTACTTGCTCTGTGCAATGGTTTTGCAAAAAGCAACCCCAATCCTCCTCTTCTCTGGTCCCCCATCGGCCCTCCTGGCCCCTCCCTTCTACCTATTACCTCCATAGCAAGCAGCTTGCTATGGGGGCACGCAAGCAGACTTGCTCCCAAGCCACTGCTTTGTGTGTCCATTCACACACAGAGTGCAGCTCCGCCCTGCCCCCACTCTCTCCTCATTGGCTCACGGTCTGTGATTGACAGTGGGAGCCAATGGCCAATGAGGAGGGAGAGACCTGGGAGAGTCAAGGCTTTTGTGCACATCACTGGATTGAGATCGGGCTCAGGTAAGTATTAGGGGTGCTGGGGATACTGCTGCATACAAAACTTTTTTTGCCTTTATGCATAGAAGGCACGAAGGTAAAAACCTTAAGATTTTACAGCCACTTTAAAGCTGCACAGGATTCTCAAATATTCCTTTTGTCCAACGCAAATTCTTCATTTTCTGCATTACCTTTGTGGAACTGCACCTTTGTGGAAATTGGCACAATTCATTTCAGACATGATGAATGCTTCCAGAGCCCGTTCTTTTAGAGAGTAATATATTATTCTTTTAACTGACAGAGACTATTTTTCCTTTATTGTGCATATGATAAAATGCACATTGTAGGCCTGAAGATTGCCTAAAACCCCCAAAATAACATACCAAAAAAGGAGTATCACTCTTTCCACTATATTCTCTGCAAATTAAATCAAAATTAAAAAAAAGCATGAGAGGTGTTCCTGGTGGCTGTGCAAATGGATGGAACCAATAACTGAATTGGTAGGGACAGGGGCGGACTGACCATTTGGAAACTTGGGCACTGCCCGAGGGCCCGGGGTCAGTAGGGGGCCCCATGAGATGCCCCTGGTACCTTTTTCATAGGCTTTTTTGAGTTTGGGCAAGGACACAGGGGCCCCATGATCCCCTATTGCCCGGAGGCCCCATGAGTTGTCAGTCTGCCCCTGGGTAGGAAAGGAGTTGGAGATGAGTTACAGAGGCAAATTCTGCTAGCCTTGCTATCCTGTAGTGAAAGCTGCAGTGACCAGGACAGGTTTAATCGAAATGCCTGCATTTTATATTTGCTTGCAACTCTATATTTTTTTTGACAGAGTCCCTTTAATCCATGCTGTTTCTGTTATGAATATAGTGAATATAGCGTTTGCTGCTGCAGCAGCATGTCTCCCATGTCCAGTATGCCAGGATTGTTTTTCAATCCAATTAATTTACAATTATACTAAATTAACACGATTACATGTTTATGGAGAATTAATAATATAACGATTGCTTGATATGCACCAAAGCCTGAATTTGAAAATTCACCAGCTTCTGGCGCAGTGATTGGTTTAGGGCAGTGTTTCTCAACTCCAGTCCTCATGGACCCCCAACAGGTCATGTTTTCAGGATTTCCATTATTTTGCACAGGTGATTTGATCAGTTTCACTGCCTTAGTAATTACCACAGCTGTTTCATCTGAGGGAAATCCTGAAAACATGACCTGTTGGGGGTCCATGAGGACTGGAGTTGAGAAACACTGGTTTAGGGAGATGAAACTCTACAGTTGTGCTTGACTGAACCTTGCCTGTCCCCTTCTTTATTTCCATGCCAGCCTGGAATATATCTGGGGCAAAGTCACTCTGTTCACCTCCCATAACAAGCCAACCCTCTTTATTAAGGCTACAACACATCAAAATAATAGCCCCATAGGCAGGTAACAGATGAAGAATCAGTGGTAATGTTACATTAAAATACACTATATTGCCAACAGTATTGGGATATGCCTCCAAATAATTGGATTCAGTTGTTCCAATCACCTCCATGGCCACAGGTGTATAAAATCAATCACCTAGGCATACAGACTGATTCTACAAACATTTGTGAAGGAATGGGTTGCTCTCAGGAGCTCAGTGGCACCGTGATAGGTTGCCACCTGTGCAATAACTCCATCCATGAAATTTCCTTGCTACTAAATATTCCAAAAAAAACGGTCAACCGTTAGTGGTATTATAACAAAGTGGAAGCAACTTGGAACAACAGCAACTCAGCCACAAAATGCTAGGCCACATAAAACGTCAGAGCTGGGACAGCGCATGCTGAAGCGCACAGTGCATAAAAGTCACCAACTGTCTGCAGAGTACTTGCCTGACTGCATTTTGCCAAATGTAAAGTTTGGCGGAGGGGGCATTGTGGTATGGGGTTGTTTTTCAGGGGTTGGGCTTGGCCCCCTAGTTCCAGTGAAGGGAACTCTTAAGGTGTCAGCATACCAAGACATTTTGGACATTTCATGCTCCCAACTTTGTGGGAACAGTTTGAGGATGGCCCCTTCCTGTTCCAACATTACTGCACACCAATGCACAAAGCAAGGTCCATAAAGACATGGATGAGTGAGTTTGGGGTGGAGGAACTTGACTGTGCTGCACAGAGTCCTGACCTCAACCCTATAGAACACCTTTGGGATGAATTAGAGTGGAGACTGCGAGCCAGGCCTTCTCGTCCGACATCAGTGCCTGACCTCACAATTGCACTTCTGGAAGAATGGTCAGACCTTTCCATAGACACACTCCTAAACCTTGTGGACAGCCTTCCCAGAAGAGTTGAAGCTGTTATACCTGCAAAGGGTGGGCCAACTCAATATTGAACCCTACGGACTAAGACTGGGATGCCATTAAAGTTCATGTGCGTGTAAAGCAGCGGTTCTCAACCTGGGGGTCGAACGACACTTTCACAGGGGTCGCCTAAGACCATCGGAAAACACACATTTTCCGATGGCCTTAGGAACCGAGACACCGCTCCTCTGTCTGTCTCCAGGTATGGGCGGGATGACATGCCGTCCCTGTCATCTGGACACACCCCCGGGATCAATCCTCGCCGGTGATTGGCCGCCGGAACTGTAGCTCAGGAGAGGCACACAGGCGGGCAATCACCGGCGAGGAGGTGGAGCTTGGAGAGGAGGAGCCGAGCGGCACCGCGAAGATCGAGCGAGTGAAGAGGAGGAGAGCGGCCGGAGAAGGAAGACGTCTGACCGGTAAGTGTCTGTACCATGGGAGAGGGAGGGAGCGAGCGAGCCCAGGCTGGAGCAGGGGTCAGCAAGGTAAGTATCATTGGTGTCAGTGGGAGGAATAGTGCCCCATCATTGGTGTCACTAATACCAATGATGGGGCACTATTCCTCCCCCCCACTGACACCAACGATGGGGCACTATTCCTCCCCCCACTGACACCAACGATGGGGCAACTATTCCTCCCCCCACTGACACCAACGATGGGGCACTATTCCTCCCCCCACTGACACCAACGATGGGGCACTATTCCTCCCCCCACTGACACCAACGATGGGGCACTATTCCTCCCCCCACTGACACCAACAATGGGGCACTATTCCTCCCACTGACACCAACGTTGGGGCACTATTGCTCCCCCTGATACCAACGATGGGGCACTATTCCTCCCACTGACACCAACGATGGGGCACTATTCCTCCCACTGACACCAACGATGGGGGCACTATTCCTCCCCCCACTGACACCAATGATGGGGCACTATTCCTCCCACTGACACCAATGATGGGGCACTATTCCTCCCACTGACACCAATGATGGGGCACTATTCCTCCCACTGACACCAATGATGGGGGAACTATTCCTCCCCCCCACTGACACCAACGATGGGGCACTATTCCTCCCCCCCACTGACACCAACGATGGGGCACTATTCCTCCCACTGATACCAACGATGGGGCACTATTCCTCCCACTGACACCAATGTTGGGGCACTATTGCTCCCCCTGATACCAATGATGGGGCACTATTCCTCCCACTGACACCAATGATGGGGGCACTATTCCTCCCACTGATACCAATGATGGGGCACTATTCCTCCCACTGATACCAATGACGGGGCACTATTCCTCCCACTGACACCAGTGTTGGGGCACTATTCCTCCCACTGACACCAGTGATGGGACACTTTTCCTCCCACTGACATCAGTGATGGGACACTATTCCTCCCACTGACACCAGTGATGGGGCACTATTCCTCCCACTGACACCAATGATGGGGCACTATTCCCCCCACTGACACCAATGATGGGGCACTATTCCCCCCACTGACACCAATGATGGGGCACTATTACTCCCACTGACACCAATGATGGGGCACTATTCCCCCCACTGACACCAATGATGGGGCACTATTCCCCCCTGACACCAATGATGGGGCACTATTACTCCCACTGACACCAATGATGGGACACTATTCCCCCCACTGACACCTATGATGGGGCACTATTCCTCCCACTGACACCAATGATGGGGCACTATTCCTCCCACTGACACCAATGATGGGGCACTATTCCTCCCACTGACACCAATGATGGGGCACTATTCCTCCCACTGATACCAATGATGGGGCACTATTCCTCCCACTGACACCAGTGTTGGGGCACTATTCCTCCCACTGACACCAACGATGGGGCACTATTCCTCCCACTGACACCAATGATGGGGGCACTATTCCTCCCCCCACTGACACCAACGATGGGGCACTATTCCTCCCACTGACACCAATGATGGGGCACTATTCCTCCCACTGACACCAAGGATGGGGCACTATTCCTCCCACTGACACCAATGATGGGGCACTATTCCCCCCACTGACACCAATGATGGGGCACTACTCCCCCCACTGACCAATGATGGGGCGCTATTCCCCCACTGACACCTATGATGGGGCGCTATTCCTCCCACTGACACCAATGATGGGGCGCTATTCCTCCCACTGACACCAATGATGGGGCGCTATTCCTCCCGCTGACACCAATGATGGGGCGCTATTCCTCCCGCTGACACCAATGATGGGGCGCTATTCCTCCCGCTGACACCAATGATGGGGCGCTATTCCTCCCGCTGACACCAATGATGGGGCACTATTCCCCCCACTGACACCTATGATGGGGCACTATTCCTCCCACTGACACCAATGATGGGGCACTATTCCTACCACTGACACCAAGGATGGGGCACTATCCTACCACTGATACCAATGATGGGGTACTATTCTTCCCATTGACATCAGTGATGGGACACTATTCCTCCCACTGACACCAATGACGTGACACTACTCCTCCCACCTTCCAAATTACAGTTATGAAGTAGCAACGAAAATAATTTTATGGTTGGGGGTCACCACAACATGAGGAACTGTATTAAGGGGTCGCGGCATTAGAAAGGTTGAGAACCACTGGTGTAAAGGAAAGCGTCCCAATACTTTTGGCAATATAATATATATGTGAACCCTTACATTGCAAAACAACCCATTCAGTTTATTATAGAAATGAGAGGCAAGATGTGTGTGTTTGTGTTTTTTTTAATTGATCACATAATCTCTGTTCTCAGCTGCACAAGAGGCTTGGAGAGGTGGAGAAACACCAGTACACTGATCTTACTAGTGAACAATTGTGCAGGGGGGCGTGTCAGCATGTCTTTGCCAGCAAGTCTGTATCCATTGAAGGATATGTAGGTGGTGCTCTCAGCACAGCCAGAAAACTAGTCACGCTGGGATGGATGTGCTTCTATTCTCAGTGTGGTCTGTTTGCAGGAGGACTGGCAGGATCACCATGTATTTTACACAAAGTAAGCAATACACTGAGAACAAGATACTTTTTTCTTAACAGCAGTACATGGTACCGCAAACACATATCAGGAATATGAAATGCTTGGGTAACATATTCTTTAGTTGTTTACACTTTCACTTTCATAATATCACTTGTCCAGATCTTACCTTCTGCTGATTAGTGGGGGGTCTTTCTACTCACAGCACTATGATCAACAGTAGGGAGCATGTGGGTAAGTAGCACTGTTGACTGTTTTCCAGTGCAGCCAAAGGGTTGAGCAATGAATGTTCTAAGAAGAAATGTTTTTTTGGTAGAGTGGGGAAGGGATGAAAGCAGGGGTGGACTGACAACTCATGGGGCCCCCGGGCAATAGGGGATCATGGGGCCCCTGTGTTCTTGCCCAAACTCAAAAAAGCCTATGAAAAAAGGTACCAGGGGCATCTCATGGGGCCCCCTACTGACCCTGGGCCCTCGGGCAGTGCCCGAGTTTCCAAATGGTCAGTCCGCCCCTGGATGGAAGTCTTGTTAAGTGTTTTCCATTGCCTTGTCCCCGTGGGCACGGTTCTCCTCACTTTCTGGGTGATCACCTAGACCAGTGGTTCTCAACCTTTCTAATGCCAGCGACCCCTTAATACAGTTCCTCATGTTGTGGTGACCCCCAACCATAAAATTATTTTCGTTGCTACTTCATAACTGTAATTTGGAAGTGGGAGGAGTAGTGTCACGTCATTGGTGTCAGTGGGAGGAATAGTGTCCCATCACTGATGTCAATGGGAAGAATAGTACCCCATCATTGGTATCAGTGGTAGGAATAGTGCCCCATCCTTGGAATAGTGCCCCAGTGGTAGGAATAGTGCCCCATCATGGTGTCAGTGGGAGGAATAGTGCCCCATCATTGGTGTCAGTGGGGGAATAGTGCCCCATCATTGGTGTCAGCGGGAGGAATAGCGCCCCATCATTGGTGTTGGTGTCAGCGCGGGAGGAATAGCGCCCCATCACATATTGTGGGGGTTGCCCCATATTTGGTGTCAGTGGGGGAAAATTTGTCCCCTTTATTGGGGTCAGTGGGGGGAAAAAGTTTCCCCTACTTTTTAAAAAACCCCCAAAAACCATGGTTCAGGGGGGGGGAATAGTGCCCCAACATTTGGTTTTTCAGTGGGGGGGAAAAGTGCCCCCCTCAAGGTGTTTAGGGGGGAGGGAAATTTGTGCCCCATCATTGGGTTTTTCAGGGGGGAGGAATAGTGTAACCAAATTTAAAATTTTAAAATTGCCCCAAAGTTGGGGCAGTGGGGGGGAAAAGTGCCCATTTATTGTTCCTATCCCCCAAAAGGGGGAAAGGGGGAAAAAAAGTTCCCCAGGGTACTTGGGGAATCCCCCACTTGGGGTCAGTGGGAGGATAGTGGGCCCCGGGGCTTCCCAAATTGGGTATATAAATGTTCATGGCTGGGGGGAAAAGTGCCCCATCATTGGTTCAAGTGGGAGGAATGTTGCCCCCTTTGCAGTCAAAAATTTTTTGGTGTCAGTTTGGGGGGAAAAAATGCCCCCTATTGGTATCAGGGGGGGGAATTGTGCCCCAACTTGGTGTTTTGTGGGGGGGAAAAGTGCCCCCCCTTTGGGGTTTTAGGGGGAGGAATTGTGCCCCCTTGGTTTTTCAGTGGGGGAGGAATAGTGCCCCCTCGTTGGTTCAGTGGGGGGGGATTTTGTTCCCATCTTGGTGTCAGTGGGAGGTTAGTGGGCCCCTCATTGGGGTTTAGGGGGGAGGAATAGTGCCCAAAAAAATTTGGTTTTCAGTGGGGGAAAGGATCAAAATTTGCAAAAAGAAAAAGTGGGCCCCATCTTGGTGTCGTGGGGGGAATAGTTCCCCCCCTCTTGGTGTAGTGGGAGGAATTTGGTTTCCCCATCATTGGTGTCAGTGGGGGAAAGGAAAAGTGCCCTCAATGGTGTCAGGGGGGGGGGAAAGTGCCCCCCTCAATTGGGGGTCAGTGGGAGGGGTTTGTGCCCCTTACGTTCGGGGTGGTAGTCCCAAAAAATTGGGCATAGGAAAATATTTCAGTAGGGTACCCCCCTTTGTTTTGGGTTTTCAGGGGGGAGCAAAAGTGCCCCCCAAAATTGGGGGTCCCGTGGGAGGAAAAAAATGGCCCCCTTGTTTGGGGATCAGTGGGGGGGGAATTTTTTTCCCCATTTGTTGGGGGTCAGTTGGGGGGGAATAAATCCCCACC